AGGGGTGAAAAAATCTAGTTCGACGATAGCCCGTTTGAGGCGATTTATGGCTATCGTCTCGCTCCTACCATTAACGAGCACCGTATAAAACTTCGGTTTTTTGGTAAGATGCGGAACGGGCCACTATAGGGTGGTCGCATGGATGAATGCACTCCGTCTACCCTGATGAACAGATGGCTAGCGGTTGTTAAGGAATTGGGTATGTAGCTGCGGATAGTTTGGTCTCGTGGTGGCGTCAGCTCTAAAAGGCGCATGTGATGTTCTATTCACTTGACGAAATCACCATAGTCAAAGCTGGAAGGAGGCGATGGGGCGACTAATTCGCCTGGAAAACGCAATGTGCAACCATATACTAGTTGCACTGAGGTGGCGTTTAGCTCTTCCTTGACTGTGTCACGCAAAGTTAGCAGAACCATTGGCAATGATTAACTCCTAGATGGATTATCTTGGGCTCCCAGTGTTGCTTTCAGTTAGCGGTGAAAACGTTCCACTAGGCCGTTGGCTTGTGGATGGTACGCAACAGATGTGGCGGCAACCAAATGTGTTCAACAAACTGGTGAAAGCATCGTCGAAATGAGAGCCGCGACCAGTGGTTGCAACCGCTGGGCAACCAAACTGACTTATCCAACCAGTTAGGAATGCTTGGGCAGCTGATTCCGAAGTCGGTTGTCTAATGGACATGGCTTGTGGCCATCGGGTGAAACGATCTACGCATGTGAGCAGGTAGACGTCTCCTTGAGAGGGAGGTAAAGGCCCTACCAAATCAACGTGTACTTGATGAAAACGTGCTGCTGGGTCGAGGAACTTATTTCACGCTGATCTGGTGTGTCTGTGAACCTAAGCGCGTTGGCATTGGAGGCAGATATTGGCAGATATCCTTTTTGATAATGGGCCAGACGAAACGCTCAGTGATGAGTTTCACTGAAGCGCGTACACCAGGATGTGACAAGGCTAAAGAAAACCTGTTGACGGAAAAGTTGGGGTACCAACGGACGGGGAGGGTCCTGTGATACGTTGCAGATGATAGTACGTTCGGATATGGAAGCTGTACTGGTTGGAGACAGAGGGAGTTGTTGGTTTGTAGCTGCAGGACCTCCGGATCATCCACCTGGGATGCGGCCATGACCTCTAGGTTTGTGGTAAACTGGTTTGCGGTAATCGAATGTACGCGTGAGAGTGCGTCTGTTACGAGATTGTTCTCCCCCGAGACGTGTCTTATATCTGCAGTAAACTGAGAAACATAGTCAAGGTGGCAGATCTCGCGTGGTGAGTAACGGTTGGATGCCGACCGCAACGCATAAACCAGTGGCTTGTGGTCTGTAAAGACCGTAAACGCACGACCTTCAAGGGCATGCATGAAATGACGTATGCCCAGGTATATTGCCAGTAGTTCCCTACCGAAGGTGCTATACCTGGACTCTGCAGGCTGTAGGCGCTTGGAGAAAAATGCTAGGGCGTGCCAGCAACCATGTTGTAGCACTGCTCCAATGGCCACGTCAGAGGCGTCAGTGACTACAGACAGAGGTGCAGAAGGGTTGGGATGCTCACGGAGATCTATATTGGCGATAGCTTCCTTAACAGAGGTAAAAGCAATTTTAGATGCATCCGGAGAATCAAATTTCCGCTTGCCTCCGCGCAAGAGGTCAGTGAGGGGGCGCATGGTTTCTGCGCAAGATGAGATAAACCGGTGGTGGTAGTTTATCATACCGGCAAATCGTCGCAACTGGCGATAGACGGAAGGTTCGGGGAAATCGCGGAGGGCGGTGACTTTGTCCGGCAAAGGCGTGATGCCTGATGCTGCTATAGCGTGACCCAGGAATTTGAGGGTGAGCTTACCCAGTTCGTTCTTACTGCGATTAACAGTAACACCATATGTAGCGAGGCGCTCGAAAAGGGCGCGCAGGTGTCCTGTGTTGTTCTTCGGAAGAACTCGGCACCAGGATGTCATCGAGGTACACGTATACGT